ATGCATAGAAAAACCTTCAGCCTGTACAACCACTTTAAACTGTCCAGTCACAGGCTGTGGGCAGAGAGGTAACCTAACTATAGCAGGGAAAAAGTCAGATCACCACAGTGGCTGTGCTGTGTGCAGAAACCCACATAGCCAGAAATACACATTCTTTGCAGGTAGAGCAGCTCCCACCATGCATTTTATTTGTTTTTAGCTGTTTGCCTTGAGTTCAGCTTTAAAGATTTTTTTGTAGTTTTGGACAGAGTGGGGATGGGTTAGAACATCAGTTCAGTTTTTATTGCTGGGTCACTGTTTGGGATACATTTCTTTACTTCCTACTGCCACTGGGAATAGGTAGTGAAGGAATATCTTCCAAAGATGGCTCTTACTCTTATTCTGCTAAAAGGAAGCGGTAATGTCACAAAGAGGAGCAGCAACAAGATGGCGGCATACGGGGACTGCATTGGTAAATTGCCAGTCTTTTATCCTGGAGGTGGGTCACACAATAGTGCAGGGCTTTTGGAATAAAAAAAACTGCTGCATTGTGGTGGGTGGGGTTGTAAACTTTCCTATTGACATTGAAGAATAGGTCTTCGACTTTCACAAAAAGCAAAAGATTTTCATGCCATCCTCCTGACAGGTATGGATAATGGCAAAAGAGATGGGCCATTTCATCTGTGACTGCTGTCAATGCTGTATGATCATATGGCTTAGTATAAAGCTGGAAAATCCTGCCAATGTGTCTAAGCAAGGCACTTTCCATCATTTCAGCATACTAATGATGTTTATGAGCATGGGAAACACAAGCCACAAAGAGCTTGGGTGCCAAAGTTTATTGTATATCAAGTTTATAGGCATACCTGCTGTGACTGACACCTTCTCTGTTCTGTCTGCCTAAATTAATGTCAAGCGATAGACAAGAGCGGGTTGTTCAGAAAACATCTCTTGTTATGTGACACTCCATGTTGTTCACACTTGTCCATGGAACACAAGGATGGTGATGTACATAAGATGGAAATGTTGAGATTTTGATTTGTTTATGCATGGAATCCAGTACATGAGGAGCATGCACATACATTCCAGGATTAGCTTGTGATATCCATCTGGTTTGGGGAAAGGTTCTGTCTTTCTGAAAATGAAACACAATTGTGTATACCAGTACGTTAACATAATCATGTATGTAAATAGGTATGTCGGCTAACATTGCTGGCCTATGTCTGAAAATGCTATGTACCTGGATTTCTTTAGCTCAAATTCTTTTTGAGTCATTGACTTGGAACAAGCAGGCAGAAAGTGAAAGGAAGCCTTTCCAATCAAATACAATATAAAAAAGGGTTAATTTAAATCAGAGGTCTCCAAACAATGGCTGCTTCAAGATTCCAACCTGTCCACAGCAACTTCCCCTGTGTGTAATGATGGGCTCTGATGTGAAGGAGAACTCTGATTTGAAATGAGGGCTCTAATGTAAAAGGGGGGTTGTTGTGAAATTGTTGGCTCCGATGTAAAGGGGACTTTTATATGAGGGGTACTCTGATGTGAAGGGAGGTCCCTGATGTTAAGGGGGGAGGGACTCTGAAATGGAAGGATGACTCTGATGAGAACTGGGGGCTGTAAAGTGAAAGGGGGACTTGATGTAAAGGGGGACTCTAAAGAGAAATGGGTACTCTGATCGGGGGGAGGGACTCTGAAATGGAAGAATGATTTTGATGAGAACAGGGGACCCCAAAGTGAAAGGAGGACTGTAAGATGAAAGAGGAACTTTGATATGAAGAGAGTTCTTTTGTGGGAAGTTATTTCTTGGAACGTGTTTTTATTCGTTCATTTATAAAACTGATTGCTTTATAAAACTGTTCCTTGATTCCACCCACTACCCACCTGCCAGTACCACCCTTTTAGAGGATACAGAACCAAGTAGCATTTTGTGGTCCTACGTAATTTGTATGGAATTTTTAATTGATAACAAGAAAAGCAGTAAGATAGATCCCAAGCAACAACAGATCTTCCCTCAACCAGCATCAATAGACCCTCCAGCAGTCAGCAACAGTAGACCCCTCCCTCAAGTGTGGATCCCTTCCATCAACAATTGACCCCCCCCCCCCCCAGCAACCTAAAGCAGTAGTAAACTAAAAAAAAAAATAAAAAAAAAATCTCCCTAAGAGCATATTGTGCTAGTATGCATCGCATATTAGCACATTATTGAAGGCCTACCTAAAAACAAAGCCCTCCAGCAGAGCGCTGTCATAGCTCCCTGGGGCTTCCATCTTCACCCGGTCTTCACTCCGGGTTTCTGGGCTGCAGGCGCTTGACTGGCTGAGCCATGGTGAGTCTCAGGTTGTGGCACAGTTCTCTCAGGCTGCATTTACACTTGAGCTTTTTGTAGCTTGAAGCTCGAAGCTCCAAAAAAGCTCAAACTTAAAAAATCAATTGCTCTCTATGGTGCATGTTTAAACCTGATCGTACGAACAGGCACCATAGAGATCAATTGATTTTTTTAAGTTGGAGCATTTTTCGAGCTTTAAGCTTCGAGCTTCAAAACTACAAAACGCTCAAGTGTGAATGCAGCCTCAATGGGGGGTTTGCCATCACTCCTGCTGCTGAAGTAAATAACTCCTATCAGTGCACGTTTAAGAGATATTTACAGTAGCTACAGGTAAGCCTTATTAAAGACTTACCTGTAGGTAAGACATCAAAAAATGACTTTACTACCACATTAAGACACACCCCCAGCAGCAATAAATCTCCCACCAGCATCAATAGACCTTCCCAGCACAATAGACCCCCTGCAAAAATAGATTCCCTCCAGCAACAGTAGATCTCCAGCAGCCAGCATAAATAGATCTCCAGCACACCCCGTCACCCCTTGCCATTACATACATTTATTGCTGGAGGTGCCAAAATTGTATTCCCATTGAAAACAAAAATCCCCGATGAAAAGAATCATCATAAAAGAAAAAAAAATGGATTGCTGCGCCTCCCACTCAAACATATCAATCCAATATATCTATAGAGATAAAATAAAATAAATATGCCACAAAATAACTGATACTAACAGTGAATATATACATAAATATTATCAGTAAATGTCCATGCATACTCCGTGAGTATCTTCTCTCATTTCCATAGTGTATATCACTGCATTCCACCTCTTGTGATACTTCACATCATTACATTCCACCTTTTGTGATACTCCACAACAACATATGTGGTGATACCTGCCACCATTCACTATTGCACTCACCTCCAAGATTGGACCCATATAGTTACAGGTCTCAAACGCCTTTTCCTTTATTTGGGATTCCTTCCAATAACTCTTCCGTTAATGCAGACTCAGATGTTTACTCATTAGATGTTCAAACGCACGATTCATATGTACCCATACGTGGTTGGTCTGGCTCTTTAAATCATGATCCCTTCTGTGGTATTATACTCGCATAAAACAAAGAAGGTATTCATAGTGTAGTATGTACACATAAAGATAGAAATGTATTGTTAAAATGCACTTACAAGTGAAGTAAAAACACAGGCTCTCATAAAGATAGTGGGGCCGCGGCTCCAGTGTCACTTCCGGTTTCGATACCACTGACTCCTGGCACCACAAGGAGGCACAGCAATCCATGTTTTTCTTTTTTGATGTATATTGGTTGTGGGAACACAATTACATTGCTAGCAGGAACTCTCTTTTAGCACATTTTTAATGGTGTAATATATAAGTAGAATATATTAAATCATACTATTTTTCATTGATAGAGGTGCGGGATATTTTCACTTTTATTATTTGTTGATGAAAAGAATGTAGAGCTTTATGCTTGCAAAATCTTAATTTGCCAGAAAAAATGTCTTGATAAAATAAATTCTTCTCGTTACGCCAACATTATCTAGATTAGGCTTTCTCTGACTGTAGCCAAATTACTGCAGACCACAACAGATCTTAGGCTCTTCCAGGGCTTTTTTTATCAGAGATAAAGGTGGTAGGTAGGTAGGTGGTAGATTAGGTGCAGTTATTCTCCCCTTCTGAGTCACCCCTTGTCCCCACTCCCTACCCACCTCTGAGTACCATCCCTTGTTTCCACCCCCCTACCCCCCTCCCAGTATTGCCCCTTTTAGAGAGTACAGAACAAGTATAATTTTTGGGATCTAAGTAGCTTGTATAGAATTTGTTAATGATCAGAAGAAAAGTAGTAAAATAGATCCCCTGCAGCCAGCATAAGTTGATCCTCAGCAAAAATAACCCCCCCCCCCCCAGAACCACTAAAGTATCCCCTGCAACAATGGACCCCCCAACAATAATAGATTACCCCCAGCAACAATAGACCCCCCAAAAAAAACCCACCCCGCAACAATAGATCCAACCCAGCAACAGCAGACCCCCACAAGCAACAACAGATGTCCCAGCAGCCAACATCAATAGAATCTCCAGCAGACAGCAACAATAGACACTTCCCTCAACAGTTAATCCCTCCCAGCAACATAACACTCCCTTCTCCAGGTAATAATATATCCCCCACCAGTAAAAATAGACCACCCCTGCAACAATGAATCCCCTCTAGTGATGATGATAGATCCCTCAGCAACAAAAACTCTCCGGGACACCCACCCCTTTTCCGTTACATACACTCCGTGCTGGAGGTGCTGGAACTTTCCCTGCGTTCCCACTGAAAAAAAAAAGTCCTGATAATATACTGAAAAGTTTGGTGACCCCAGCTTTAAATGATAAACAATACACAGCAGAACACTGATACAGGGATTTATAAAGTAAAAAGATTTTTGTTTTTTATCTGATCAGGCATATTGGACCAGGTTTTAAGGATTTTGTATCCCTCCACATCAGCTGGCGTGTACAAAGATGTACGGATTTTGTTAAGGTTGAACTTGATGGACATGTGTCTTTTTTTCAGCCACATAACTATGTACCTAATCCTATCCCTCATCCAGTTTATTGAAGCAGGCTAGGTTTTTTCCTCTGCACACGGATCTCTGATAATCTCTGTTTGTGGTTGCAGGGCTGCGATTCCCAGATGAGTATGTCAGAAGTGTCATGTATGGAGAGCTCTTCCTCCTGTCAATCACTGGTCCACAACGCTGCTCCCGAAATCCTCATCGGTCTGCTTTATAACGCCACCACGGGCAGACTTTCTGCAGAAGTGATAAAAGGCAGCCACTTCAAAAACCTGTCATCCAACAGACCTCCCAGTGAGTGAAAAGCCTTTCTATTCTTCTTCTTAATGAGTTCTAGCACCAGGAGAATCTCTGCCTTTTCTAATTACACTTAAAGGACCAGTAAACCAGCCAAGTACATTTTATTCATCTGTGTTATACACCAATTGAAACGAATTGCTCCTTAACACATCTCTCTGTGCAGCATTGGGCTTATTCAGTAAGATAAGGGAAATTTATAAAGTGCAGTGAACCATAACAACCAATCAGAATCCATCTTTTACTAATCCAGGTTTTAGTAGACTGGAATCTGAAGGGTTGGATTGCAGGCTAGTCATGTAAGCAAAAATTTGAATCTTTAACCCCCAGAAAAGTCCAAATTGTTTATTCACAGTAATGCTCCCAGGTGGGGTCCTGAGTTTACAGGACTCCAAACTCCAATGTGTTGGCTCACAGTGTGAACACAAAGAAAATGCATTCTGGATTGTTATTCTTCAGTCCTCTACAGGGACTGCTTTAAAGATTCTCCAGGGCTAAAGAGCTGCCTACTAATATCTATGCACTTTCCGCCATAACACACCAAGCGATGAAACATGGCTCTTCTTTACTAGTATGCAACTCTTTTTCATCTTTTCCAGATTTGCAGATGATGGACTCATAAGATTCCTTTAGACTTCTTTGTGGTGCACTTCACCTAAATCTGATTTATCAATTTTAGGTTGGTGCTGGCAGTGTTGAGCTCTGGCCTGTTTTAATACTTAATTTCTCCAAAAGCAAACTCTGCCTTTCCCAGCTGTCATTTTGTCCCATTTAGTTTTAGGCCAAATAATGTAATCTGGCCAACTTTGCCGTTTAGCCCTATATAGAGTATTTAGTATTGATAGACTATTTTGCTGAGGCTGATGGAGATAATTACAGTCCTATTGGTGGGCTATACATAATATATAAACCTATAAATTAAATTTTAAGTGGGCTTAATCTTTCTTTATTAAAGTGTTACTAAACCCATGACCCTGCATTCACTATATTTGGTCTCCCCCAGTACACAGAACATGGAAATGCAATTATTTTAGTACATGTAAGCTGTTAAATACCTTTTCTCATCAGCAGTATATAGCAGTCTCAGTGTCCAGCTGAGCACTGGTTAATCTTGTAGGATACATTTTCATTCTACTTTGACTGTCCTATGTGGCTGCATGACCGTACAGTCTGATTGGCCCTGTGTCGATCACGTGCACCCTGCCAAAAAAAATCCAAAAAAATCCAAAAAATAGCAAAAAAAAAAAATCCAAAACACAATCTCCAGCAATACACACCAAACGCAGCATGTGCAGGGTGTCTCCTAGGGCTCTTTACTATCAGCAGGTGGATTGGAGGCTTTGGAAAAAGGGGAGGATCAGAGAAGTCAGGATCAAACAGCATTTTTACATAATATGAAGGATTAACCCCGTAGGTTCCACAGTGAGTATAACAAGCATGCTTTACTGCATATGCAGACTGATTTTACTGTTGTGGGTTTAGTAACACTTTGAAAATAACTTTTCACTAAAATCAGGGTGCTCACACCCCATGAACAGTATCTGAAGCCGCAAAATACCTGGGCTGAAAATGCTATTGTTCTGCGACCCTATTACAGTGATTATGTGATAAAATTCCCAGATATTTGGTCCTGCCATCTCAGCTTATTGGAGGATCATTCTCAACACTACTTTTCCCTGCAGCGGCCAAATGTCATAGCATATGTCACATGACTGGCAATCATTTGATCTTGCAGTGGGAGTTCCTCCAGAGAAGGCAGGTAAACCATGCCATCTGCTACTGTGCTTTCTGAGTTTAAGGAGCAGGTGAACAAAGGATTTTATTTTGCCGATAGCTTCATGCTAGTTATTTCTTAATCCATCATTAAGAAGCCTTTGCACTCTTCATAAATATAAATAGAGCAAATAGGAAAAGTGTTAATAAAAATACTAATTTCCAAATGATCACTGACAGCTGATTTTCATCGGCAGCTACAAATTTGTGTGTCCAGCTTCCATACCTTTGTTGTGGCCATGGCAGTGAGAGCAGACAAGGAAAAAATGATCATGTGTACACTTCTGAAAATGCAACTTGGTTTATGGAACTGGCCATGTGACCTGAAATCCTTATCGAATTGCTCGTATTGACTCTATAGAATTTATTGTTCTGTATAAGCCTATTAGTCAAAACCTAGTCCAGGAATCTAAAATCTGTTATTAAATAATTGATGAAAACTCCTGTCAACTGGTCAACATCTGTGCTTTGCCTAAGGGTTTTGTGTTGTAATCTGTGCTACAGTGAGAACTATAAATTAGGCCAGTCACTATGTTAGCAATGGCTGCTATAGTGTACAGCCTGTTAAAATGTGTGAATCTCAATCCATGTTTATCATCATTGTGAAGTAAAACTGAACTCCAGGGAAAAAGGGGTCCCCCTCCCCACTGCAAGGTCAACTGCTCATTGTGCCTAGAGAATGATGAGTAAGGTGATATCCTTAGCCTTCTCCAGACCTTATTCCACTTTCCTCCAATGTCCAACACTCTGGGTTGTGGGCATACCCTTGGCATCCTCACTGGTCCTACCTTGTATGGGATGACATCAGAAGTCTGCGACCATTTGGTAAGAGACTTTTGCAGGACCAGTTGCTTGCAGTCGTGGAGATTAAAGTACAACTAAAGGCAGATTTTTTTTTTAGTTTTGGATAGGGTAGAGAGGGATTAAAACATCCATCAGTTTGTATTGTTGTCTGCGCCCATTATGGAGATTTACTCTCTCTATATTTGTCCTGTTTACCATTATCATTGAAAGTGAAAGTAAAAGAAAATCCTTAATTTTTTGTTGTTCCCAGAAAAGTAATACAGGGGGAAAATGTCCAATGGGGACACTAATTCTGGTTGCCTGGGGTCCCCAAGAGATTTCCTTACAGGGGTTATAACCCTCCCTTACTCTATCCAAAATGAAAAAAAAAAATGTTTTTCTTATAATTCTACTTCAAGGTAAGTAATATCACCTTATTTATCATCCCCCAGGCAAAACGAGTAGTTAACCCTTGCAATGGGGAGGGGACCCACAGTAGGGATAAATCTTTTTCCCTGGAGTTCAGCTTTAAGCTCTTCTTGCATTAAAAGTTAGTAAAGTGCCAGCTTGAATATGCCCGAGCCCTGAACCCCAAAGTACTGTAGTATGAATATTCTAATTTCTGCTGTTAAAGAAAAGTACTGTGCTACAAAAGAAATAGATTTGGGGGTACTTATTTCAGATGATTGCAAAAGAAGCAGTGTGGCCGAACAGCGTGAAAGTAAATAGAATTCTAGGGTGTATCATTAGAGGGGTCACTAGCAGCAGAAACGAAGTCCTGATTCCACTATATAAATCTGTAGTTAGACCCTCACTTAGAATACTGTGTCCGGTTCTAGAGACTTCATGTACTAAAAGAGATTGATAAGATAAAACGAGTTCAGAGATGGGCTCTTTTCTGAAAATGCTAGTTGAGTTGCTGTCATGCTGTTGTACTGGCTCCAGTGCTGTTGGAGACACTGATGCAGAACAAGTATGCAGATAAGGACTTTCTGCATACTTATTTGGGGTCTAAGATTGAAAAAGTACTGAAAGCAGAGAAAACATTGCAACTAGCATTTTATAAAGAGGGCCTGTATGAACAGGTTTTCTTTCCAGTACTACAGTACATAGACGCACAAACACTGCTTGTTAATTGTCGGTAGGACTTTGGCAGCAAGATTCCTCTTCCTCCTCAATGAAGTTCTCATCTCTAATTTGTGGTTACTGTTGGTGTCACACTAGTGTTACTCCTTATCGGTTTCAGGAACAGATGATATAATGGTTCATTTCAACACTGCAGTCTCAACCTGTCACACTGCCGTCTCAACCTGTAACACTGCATAACTCAACCTGTCAGCAGCCAAATACGGAAACATTCCTTTTGGGCAGACATAGCATTTAATCTGTCTTCTGGTTTCATGTTGTGTAACTTCAGGATGGAAACAAATATTTTCCTTTGAACTGTTTCAGTACCAATCGGGCTGGTTCATTTAAATAGTGAGATGCATCTTGCATATACAGCTCACTTTTCTGCCATTCCTCCACATCTAAATAAAATTGGTGTACTAGTACCAGACTACCTTTATATCTATAGGTGAATGGAACCATCATTTGCTGATCTCCAGTAAGGTTATACTTATTATTCCTATTCCTGGTTATGTTGTGTACAGTATGTATGTTTTACTTGCAGATTTGAAAGATTTCAGTTTAAATGATTATTAACAGCCCAACCTTGTTGACCTCCCATGCAGAGCAATGGGGGAGAGGGGACCTCTGTGACCACTGCAGCAGCTCCTGTGAGATAGAACACTGCAGCCACAAACTCCCCCCCCCCCCGATCTCTGACTGCATTTACATAGTGTGTACAGGGTGTTACTTAGTGGGTGGAGCATGATTCCAAAATCCTTCCACCCGGCTGTGCCTGTATTAGCATTTTGCAGCCAAACAACTTGATGGGAGGCAACTCTTGAAAAGAAATAAAAGCCAGTTAAAGATAAAGAATTAACATTGTGGTTCATTAAAAACAAAAGCAGTCCAGCTGCATTACATTGCATTTTATAAATGACAGTAATTTTGCTTTGTAACGTTGCATGGTCAAGCACATGGATTGACATTGGCATTCCCAAAAATGCACAGGATAACGTCTCTGTGCACAGCAATGGCAGCTCCTTATCTACACAGTTTCATAACCACAGTTCCATTTATCCCTAAATATTAGCAAAGTTTGTCATTCACACACCAAAGCCTGTGTAGCTGCAGATGAAGTACAAAGCGGTAAGCAAGATGCAGCCCATTACTTCTCTGAACAAACCCTTCATAGTCTAGGCCCCAACGCAGGGCTGGAGTATCTGGTACTGAAATGGTCAACCTCTAACCTTTAATCCTCTCTCACCCAACTCTTGTAATTATTTCTTTTTCTGCTTCCCACCCTCTGTTGTCAGATGGACTTTTCTGTTGTC